GTTGAAATTCATCTGCTTGATTTTCCTGTCAAGAATCTGTAGTCCCAGCTGCATAATGTTGACATCTCTCTGCTTGATTTTGCTGTCTAGAATCTGTACGACCAAATGCATAATGTTGACATTCCTCTGCTGATACTTCACGGCGGTCAGGACAAGATATGTGACGTAAAAGGTGCACAGGAGCTGTATGAAACTTCTAACTCTCACGATAAAAGTTTAAAGGTAATGTATAATTGTATACAATTTATTATGTACAGAAGTTAAAGGTTATCAAATCACCTTGTAAATTAATAAATTGTATACTTTTAGATTTTAGTGATTTTTATGGCTCTTATGCCCTTTTTGAGGTGAGCGTGACCCTGTGATTAGCGTGTCCAAATTTTTAATCCGAGGAGTTGTGTTCGTATTTTGTTGTCACTTTATCCCCCGTATACTTTATGTGTTACTAAAAGATTCATGTTGGGCAGGGTGTATTCTAGTAGTTATCATGCCAGTTTATAGATCCAATAGTCTATGGTTCGTGTCCCTTTTTTCAATAACGTGCGTTACTAAGAAATTTTACGTCATTTACACCCTGGTTAGCAGGAACTTTTATCTCAGTACAACACGTGTTTTACTAAGCAACTCCATGCTATTTAGACTCTGATTAGTCTAATTTGTTTTATATATGTGTAACATATTTCACTATGAACGTATCATTCAGGTCCTAATTAGCAGAAAAACTTTTTCTTGTAAGAAGTGTTACACCAAGGAACTCCTTATCCTGGAAATCATTTTCCAGACTAAAGACTCGGAGTCAAACTCTGAGGAGCTCTCGTGCGCGAGTCACGTTCATACGATGAATATTTCTTTGCCAGATTCTCCTTAAAGCTAGTTAAAAGCTTTAACTTCTCTCTCTCTCTCTCTCCGTGTTCTCACCAGATTATTCGTAAAACTGGTAATGAGCTTTAACTTCTCTCTCTCTCTCTCTCTCCATGTTCTCACCAGATTATTCGTAAAACTGGTAATGACTTTAATTTCTCTCTCTCTCTCTCCGTGTTCTCACCAGGTTATTCTTAAAACTGGTAATGAACTTTCTGTCCATTTCCTCACCAGATTTTCCTTAAAGCTGGCAATTAACCGTAAGTTCCTTCTCTCTGTACTTGTGATCATGTGATGAAAAGTCTAGACATTCCATCCGAGTTTCAGGTGATTGAACTACTGAGTTTATTCAGTTCACACCTTGGATGAACTTCGTGGTATTATTATTATTATTGAACTGCTCTAAATCGGTTCATCATTTGATCTCATAGAAGGGAAAAGAAGAGGCCGTACGTTATCTCTTATGACGACGGAGTTTAGTGGCTTCTTGATTAGCTGGTAATGTCTAGGATCATTAACTTGATAACTGGGAACGCTTTATAATAAAAAGGGTTAATAAGTTTCTTAAAACTACTTACAAATTGTCCGCCAGGTGTAAGCACATACGTTTGGAAATTTTAAGACCTTGTTTAGTTTAACTTTCTGAAAGTAGGTTTTTGTTTTTTGGTACTTCAGTAGATGGAACTTCGTTGTACATTGTTTTACTCACAAATTTCGTACATAACTAAAAATAAAAAATAAAGACAAAAATGAATATAAGCCAACTGGATAAATACTACATATTAACAGAGTTGATTTGCTGGGTGGTACTGAAATTCTGAAGCCCTCGAAAGTCCAAAAATTAGATATTCATTCCTAACTAACATTAACATATTTATGTTTTGTTCTTTCTTTTGTGTCTTCAGGTGTATCCGAACTCTTATCATTGTCTTTTCCTCGAGCCAGAAGGTATCGCAGAAGAAGTCGTAGAAGAAATAAGAAGATGGATTAAGAACAGGATGTAGAAATGTGTGTATTGTTGAATAAAACGAACATGGGAGCTGTTGGAAGCTTACCAGATTAAAGAAAACCATTTTGTGTGTGTGTTACGTTTCAATTATATATTAGCCTCTGAATTTACGTTTTGATACAACATATTATTATATATATATTCGTATATTCTCAACACAGCCATATGGGTATCGTTTCTATTGGACACCCATGATATTCGTGTATACTCTGCAAGGCTGTAGTTTGTTGTTTTGTCTTAGTCCTCCCCCACCCCCTGCTTAATTTAGGTATTTTTTGGGAGAAAACATGCAGTAAAACCATTACAAATTGTGTGATATTTTAATTTCATACGTTAAGGAGATTAACTTGGGTTAATAATGTGAAATAGTATTGCCATCAAAACTGGAGACTCACATTCATAAAGTTCAGCAACAACACACACAGTCTTGGCCAAAACGTTTACATACTGTTCTATACTGATTTTATTGTATATATGCATAGAGTAGTTATTGAGTAAATGCCTGAGTAGTAGCAGAGAAGGCAGCGTATGATCGAACAGACATGTACGAGTTGTTATTCTGGTCTGTATAAGTCGTTTTGGGCATTTGTTCGTCAAAACACACATACACACCTGTTTTGTATAAAAGGGTGTGCTCTTGGTATAATATTTTCCAAGACCAATCAACGCTTCGTTCAGGCAATTTCTCTGTGCTTGATGTCGAGTCATGCCTTGTCACGTGCCAGAAGTTTTAGGGCGTCAAATTGTTCGACAGTCCAGAAATGGTATGAAGCAAACGAACATTGACAGAACAGTAGGAGACCTCCAATATATTGTATTCAGAATCCTGAAACGTCATCGGACTACAGGGAACATTGTTCCAGGAAAGTTTACTGGTACACGTCGAAAAACTACTTCCCGAGATGACCGTGTTTTGATTAGGTTAACACGTCAGGGTGGAAAGAAGTCTTGAAACATCTTATGACAGGTATGGCATGGACATATTCATTCCAGAGAATCCAGAAGAACAGGGAATGGGAGACTGATCAAACAAGGTTATTTTGAAAGAAGGGCTAACTGGAAACTGAAATTAATCAGAATTCACTGACGTCACCGTGTTACTTGGGCAAGACAGCATGTTAACTTACAGTTAAGACACTGGGGACATATAATATTTTCAGATGAGTCCTGTTTCCGGCTTGTTAAAACTGATGGTAGGATTCGTGTTCGTCGTTTACCTGGAGAACAGATGAGGGAAGACTGTCTTTCCCACAGGAAGTGGTGCAGTACGTGTTTGGGCAGCTGTTTATCATGATGTCCATCATATTCTCAAGGGAAATATCAATGGCGTCTCCTACAGGCATCACATGGAGATGACATTGCTTCCATATGCTAGGGAAAGGTTTGGTAATAACTTTGTGTTCCAGGATGACAATGTCACTGCCCACAGTGTGCGTTTGTACAGGATTATCTCGACCAGAAGAACGTTACAAGATTTCCATGGCCAGCAAAGTCTCCAGATTGTAATCCAATTGAGAACTGATGAACAGAATGGAGCCAGAAAATTGCTAATCACATGACCTTATGTCTACTCTGTTTTACTATGACCTTATGTCGACTCTGTTTTAATATGACCTTATGTCTACTCTGCTTTACTATGATCTTATGTCGACTCTGTTTTAATATGACCTTATGTCTACTCTGTTTTACTATGATCTTATGTCGACTCTGTTTAATATGACCTTATGTCTACTCTGTTTTACTATGATCTTATGTCTACTCTGTTTTAATATGATCTTATGTCTACTCTGCTTTACTATGATCTTATGTCTACTCTGCTTTACTATGATCTTATGTCTACTCTGCTTTACTATCTACTCTGTTTTACTATGACCTTATGTCTACTCTGCTTTACTATGACCTTATGTCTCCTCTGCTTTACTATGACCTTATGTCTACTCTGCTTTACTATGACCTTATGTCTCCTCTGCTTTACTATGACC